GTTTTAGAAAAATCAAAAACGTCTATCAAAATAAAAGCTGCGCCGAATTTTTCTAAAACTTTGAGCGAAGATATCTCGATTACCACCTGTGAAAATTTTTTTATTTGAATTTTAAAAATTTGTAGAATTCAAATAAAAAAGATTTTATCAAATTTAATCAGGAAGTTATCGAGATATCTTCGTTCAAAATATTAGAAAAATTCGGCGCAGCTCTTATTTTGATAACATTTAATTTTTCTAAACTTTGTGCGAAGATATCTTAATAGCTACCTGATAAAATTCGATGAAATTTTTTTTATTAGAATTCTACGAATCGGTAGAATTCAGAAAAAAAAAATCATTTGATTTAACTAGGTAGTTATAGAGAAATATTCGCTCGAATTTTTAAAAATATTTATTTTTACTTGGTTGTAAAAATGATTTACCAATCAATACAATGAAGATCATCATCCAATCAGACGTTGGGGGGTAAATTAGTAAAACCGGTCCCGGTTAGAGAGGTCTTACTGTATATAATAATAATACAGGACATTGGTTTTGTTTCAAATTCCACATATTTAGAATGATTTATGTTCAACCAATGGTCTAAGATCAGTGTTATTTGTAGTTATTATATCAAAATTGAAATTATGAACAATTATTTTGTTTAAATTTTAAAAGAAAACGTTCATAGCATAATATTTAATGTATATAATTCCTCGATACAAAATCAGATTTAAATACCAGAGGTGTTCTATTTGCCTGTAATGTTTACTCACAGGTATTATCCTAAAGCAGGATATAACATTTATAAACCTTAACTAAGAATTAAATCAATGGTACACTAACATTACAAGAGTTACGTATAAAAAATAAAGACACTAATTGTATCCACGAAAAAATTGAACAGCTAGGCAATGAACGATGTAATTGCCCAAGTCATTCTAGCAACATCTTGCAGCTGTCTTGCTGTTGTCATCAGGTAAAGTAACTTGGATAGTCTCTCCAGCAGTCGGTCTGGCAACATCACCACTGTTAATTTCCAAAGCCTTATTAGATACAATTCGGTATATTTCTGAAAGTGGAATGTTATAGCAATGAGATAAAGACGAAGACGGTAATAAATTAACGAGTTAAAATGAAATAAAAAAAAGGAATTACCTGTTAGGATATTTTGAAAAGCAAGTTCTACGTTACTAGCATCCAAGGCGGAGGTTTCAATGAAAGACAAATTGTTTTCCGCTAAAGAGTTTGTAATAATATGAGAAGATTTAATGAAACGACAAGAAAAAAAAAAAAAAAGTGTAATAATTAATATTAATATAAACATACCGGCAAATTGTTTGGCTTCTTCAGTAGGAACAGCTCTCAAATGTCTTAAATCGCTCTTGTTTCCGACAAGCATAATGACAATGTTACTGTCAGCATGATCCCTTAATTCTTTCAACCAGCGGTTGACATTTTCATATGTTACATGTTTGGCAATATCATAAACAAGTAAAGCACCAACAGCACCACGGTAATATCTGTAAAAAGTCACATTTAAAATATGTCTGAAACATTGAATTGACGCAATTAAATAAAGATTACTCACGCGCTTGTAATAGCTCTATAACGCTCTTGACCAGCTTTTAGGAAATAATTAATTATCAGCACCATAGTTAGAATGAATGAATGAATTGACGTACTATCTTAAAATTAATACCAGTATCCCAAATCTGTGCCTTAATAGTTTTATTATCTACTTGGATACTCCTGGTTGCAAATTCGACACCGATAGTAGATTTGGACTCCAAATTAAACTCATTACGAGTGAAACGTGAAAGAAGATTGGATTTACCAACCCCAGAGTCACCAATTAAGACAACTAAAAAGAAGAAATTAAGCTAATATTAGATAGTGCACCATCTGCGGGCTAGTTTTTTAAAACTCAAAGAAATACAAGCTGTGTGGCTTTGTTTAATAGTTTGTAAAAATAACATGGCGATTTTAAAACAATGACACTCGGTGTCATCAAGAAAATTATCATGGCGAGTGGCCAAATTAAAGAACCGGATGAGAACTTTCTTCTGTAAACGCATATTTGTCTGTATTTCTTAACCACAAAAAAAAAAAAAATACTATGCGCCATACCTTTAAAAAGATAATCATATTCGTCGTCCTTACTCATCTTGAAATTAAAAAATTAAGTAAAGGTGAAAAGTTTATAGCCTTTGCAACGTTAAGATAAAAGATGACTGTGGCGGTGTAAAATGAAGTTACCGTTGATGGTTTTTTTATATTGACACCAAAGGTACACAAAAGGCTGGTATATTAGAACATAGCAGATATTGTGATGCATAATTACAATCATTGTCAATGTCATTATTATGGTTTGCTTAAGGAAATATTGTGCAAATTAACACAAACAATGCTTTCTAAACTTGTCAAACTTAGAACAATTCAATTTCTTGGGAAAAAAAAAACTGCAAAAAATCAAAAGTAAACTTGGGCTCCAGCGGGAATTGAACCCACGACCTCTCGCACCCAAAGCGAGAATCATACTACTAGACCATGGAGCCAGTTATAGTGTTTAATGAATTTTTTATTTTAGAAATTACATAAAATTTAGTCTGCCAACCCTTATTAATTAGCTTTTTGCCCGTTATCGTACGATTTCAAGAAATCAACCGCCAAAAAAAATGAAGTTAGTTTTTTATTTTAAATTTATATTATATATTATTTTTTTACATCAATTTATCCTATGTATTTTTTTTTGACAATCTTTTAAGTGTAACGAAAGAAATTCAACGTATTAATTCCCAAGAAATAGAACGTAATATCTCCGCGTCGGGATCGTGGCATGCACAATATAAAGATTCCCCTTATATATTTGTTGCAAATGTTCCCTTCGACTTGACAGAAGGTGATTTAATTGCAGTATTTTCTCAGTAAGTGATCTCTATCTTATTTTGCTTTTGTTTCCACTAGCCGGTTCTAAATTAATATCTTTTATAGATATGGAGAAATTTTGGACATACAACTAGCTCGTGATAAAAATACTGGCCAGTCTAAAGGATTTGCTTTTTTGAAATATGAAGACCAAAGAAGTACTGTTCTAGCCGTTGACAATTTGAATAATATTCAAGTAAGAACTAAAGATTAAATCATTAATATGAACGTAGCTTATTAAAATTGCGCTGTAGTTATTAGGGCGTACGATACGAGTAGATCATGCAAGTGCTGAGACGAAAGATGGGCGGCGTAGGACGGGAATGAATGCCGCTCCACAATCGATCAGAGGTAATTGCATTATTTTAGTCAAATCACTTATTATTTTTACAAAGTATTAATCGTTCCTCTTTGTTAAATATAATGTAAGATGAAGGAAAATCATCCGATTCAGATTCTGAAGATGAGTTTGCTGATAAATTTGATCCGGATGATCCGATGAGAGATTATCTTATCAAAAAATTAAAAAAAGAAAAGAAGAAAGAAAAGAAGCGTGCGAAGAAAGAAAAGAAAGAAAAAAAGTCAAATCGTTAATTTGATGTAATATTAATGTTGAATATATATTAATAATAATGTAAGAGATTCATTAATTGAATCATACTTATTAAAAACCAAATATTAATTCCTTTTCGTATGTGATGGTTATATATGTAATAAAAAGTTAAGTATTTGCCTCCGGTGGTGATAGTTTCCCGCGTAGAATACAATTAAAACAAGCGTAATGAGATTTAGGGTTTAACCAGCCTTAGGAATATATTATACAGTCGATACTGTCTAATTCATGCCATCCGTCAAAGACCTTCTATAATTAAAAAACCAAATTTCTTATGCATTTAAAAAGTATATGCAATTAGGTAATATTCAATTAGACAGTATGACTTTATTAAAATTTTTTTCGCAATAAATAATGGCTTTATAAACGCAATCCTTCAACCCTATAAAGAGAATATTTCTATGCTAATTCAAGATCTTAAAATTTTTCTTTGCACTATGGCGTAGACTTTAAACTTCGAAAGGCATATTGACAAAAGTAGGTTGTATCCTAAATTAATTAATTCTATTATTTTTAATGATAACAATAATACAATAATTATATTTTTGATGCTACATTTATAAATTTATTAATAAATTATTTTAAAATTTAATGTAAATATATATAGAAAGTTATTATAAAAAAACATTATATAATTTATATATCCAAATATACTGTATATCAATTTGGTTTGATAGCAACTTTGTTGTTTTTATAATAAAATTTTATAATTTGTATAAAAAAATACTTCTATACAGTATAAGCATAGTAAAACCTTGATATAATTACATACTGTATATATTTGTACAGTCAACCCCCTCTATAATCACACATTTTGTATACTTAATAACTTTTTTAAAAAATGTGCTTATAAAGAGGTTGTGCTTATATAGAGGTAGTTTTTTATATGTTTACTAGTAATTTGTTTTTGAGTATAAAATGTGATAAAGAGGGGTTTTTATATGATGTGATTATAGAGGGGGTGACTATAGAGGGGGATAACTGTATAAGTATTGTCGGGCTTGTCTAAACCTGAAACCAAACCCCAAAATTTTTAAGCCCGATTAATGCCCAAAACAATTGGCCATTGAAAAATAATAATCATATTTGAGTGCTGCGCAAAAAACCTAACTTAACAATAAAGACAAGAACAAATTATTTGTATTAAATGTGATACATAACAGATAAAACATTTACACGACAATTTAATGTTAAGTTCACTATCATTATCATATTGTAAGTATCCCTTCCTGGATAAAACTTGGATTTTTTATTTATAAGTTTTCCCTATCGCTATGCTGTACTCATTTACAGATTTATCCTAGATGCAAATCGGCTCCATTAATAATCGGTTTTTACAAGCCAGTGGAGCCTCTTACGTTTTAAGTATCCTAATGAGAGTTATGCAAAACTATAAATTCATACCGATATCAATATATTTTCAATGCATATTTGTATTTACATCTCAAACTATTCGATCTATGACTATACCTTTAATTATAAATTGAGCTCCAGTATCGCCCATGAAAATATATAATTACTTTATTTCACTAATAAAAGAAATAAATAGGAATACTAAAAATCTTCATTTGTGTTCCAAAATTTTGAAATCAGAAAATGAAATGTTAGTGTTCGGAGACTCCCATTTCGCGAGGTTGGTAACTTTTTAATGAAAACAAACTTATCGGGAAATAAATAAATTATAACATTGCTTACTTATAAATACTGTATGTTACCTATTACTATCAAAAATCAGACTTCCGCATTTCATTTCAATCATTTAGTAATATGTATATTAGGACTTTCTAATATCTTAACTATATCGGTATTCTTTAAAACTCTAAAATTTGGATAAAGCGGAAGTTAGGTTATTTTATAATATATATTTAAATTGTATTTTAATAAATGACAATATACTTTACCTATTAATCTTGCATTCTTTACTTTTTAATATGTTTATGATTGCGGCCTGGTTTTGATATAAGCCAATTTTTTTTTAACAATAGAAATACAATGTTTCTTCTTTAGCACATTGCACAATAATAATTGGCCACTATACATTTTCATTAAGAGAGATATAGTTCAAAAGCTATACTCTTTAATAGTCTTCGGAGAAGATTTGGTCGAGAATCATCACCAATTCACTAAATACCTAAAAAAATAATGTCGCAACTGCTACCAAAACCTGATTGAAACTGAAACCAATAAACTAATTGGTCAATTCTGAATTAACCAATTAGACATATTTGGCTTCAGTATCATCCAAATTCTAGTAACAGCCACAAAAAAGTTTTAGCTTATGTTAATTGGTAAATTAATTACAATTAGAATCTTACCACTTCAGAAGCTACCGAGATTATTGGGATGGCAAGAATATCCTTTACCATCAATGATACTGAAGGATACTTCAATGCGTTTTCTTTCCACTAAACTAGGACATCAAATGATTCCGAGTGAGAACGAAGATGAAGTGGATCAGAAAGATAATGTTCAAATTTATCCACTACAGTCATCCCCCTCTATCGTCACCCCTCTATAATCACATCATATAAAAACCCCTCTTTATCACATTTTATACTCAAAAACAAATTACTAGTAAAC